AGAATATAGGGTCATGACAATGGCAACATGTGAACTTATTTGGTTAAAACAGTTGCTCAAGGAACTTCAAATTGAAGAAGTATGATCAATGACACTTGTTGATATTTGTAAATATATAGTGTTAAGAATATTTGTATATAGAATAGTCTCACATCGACTATATTATGTAATTAGTTGTAATCTATCTATATATAATAATGTCTCCGTAGTGCTTTTCAAAACACACGGTTTATTCAAATGTCTCTTAGTCTCTTGTATTTTAACATGGTATCTAGAGTCTGCTAAGAGGCAATTCTTTCTTCGCCGTGCTTTATCCGGTTGACCAACTATCTTCCGGTGAGAAATTTTTTTTGCAAACCGTGTTGTCACTCTGGTTTGCCTCACTTTTCAAAATTCTCCGGTGACCACCCTGCCGCCACTGCCGCCGTTACTGTTCCGGCAAAACTTCCGGCGACGTTTCGGAAAGCCGACCCCACCATCAGTTTTCAATATTCTCCGGTCATAACCGCATAGCCACCGCCGTCGCTACTATTCTCGGCGACCTTCCGGCAAACTTTTTCATCGGCAGAAACCTCCGCACGCGCCCGCACACGCCACCTCCGTCTCCGCACGTGGGCATCACGCGCCGCCACCTGAACCGCACGTGACAGCACGTTTGGCGACCGATCGCGTGATATTTTTTCTCTTCAGATACTCATGGCTACTCCTCAGAACTTTACGCCAAACCATGATGATTTCCTCAGGTGGTATCAGAATTATCATAACTCAGATTCTACTGCTACGGTAGCACACACTAGTAATTCATCTGTTTGCCTCTCTCAATCATCTCCTCTTCGACCTTAGGTCCTTGATTCTGATGCGTCTGGTCATGTTACTGGTAATAAAAATTTGTTTTCTTCCCTCTCTACCTCTGGTTTCTTACCTACTATAACTTCTGTCAATGGTTCTCAAACCCGATCCGAAGTGATTGGTACTGTTCAAATTCTACCTTCTCTATCTGTTACTTTTGTCCTCTATGTACCTAATTGTCCATTTAATTTACTTTCAGTCAGTCGTTTAACTTGTTCTCTTGATTGTAGTATCACCTTCACTAACAATAATGTTACCCTGCAGGATCGGAGTTCGGGAAAGACGATTGGCGTCGAATATGAGTCTCAAGGCCTTTACTACCTTACATTGTCATCTCAGACATGCTCAACCAAAGATTCTCCACTCACTATCCATGCTCGGTTAAGTCATCCCAGTCTTTCCAAATTACATAAGTTGGTGCCAAATTTATCAAAGGTATCTAATTTACATTGTGAGTCGTGCCAGTTAGGGAAACACACTCGTAGTCAATATCCCAATCGAGTCAACAAACGAGCTTCGTCCCCTTTTGCTTTAGTTCACACCGATGTTTCGGGTCCCTCGCGTACTGTCTCTACTATTCAGTCTAAGTATTTTGTCACCTTTATTGATGATTTTTCACGTTGCAAGTGGTTATTTTTAATGAAGAATAGATCTGAATTGTTTTCCATTTTTGAACAATTTTATCGAGAAAGAAGAACCCAATTTGATTTGTCTATTCGCACCATAAGAAGTGACAATGCACGTGAATATTTATCCCAACAATTTCAAACATTTATGTTATCCAATGGCAATTTGCACCAAACATCTTGTCCTCATACACCCCAACAAAACGGGGTAGCCGAACGCAAAAATCGGCACCTCGTAGAAACCACTCGGACCCTACTTCTCCATGGTAATGTTCCTCTCCTGTTTTAGGGAGATGCGGTGCTCACGGCATGTTACCTCATAAATCGCATGCCCTTATCTGTCCTTAATAATAAAATCCCTCATTCATGCTTGTATCCAAACTCTCCACTCCACCCAATTCTTCCTCGAGTCTTCGGATCTACGTGTTTTGTACACAATCTCTCCCCTGGTCTTGATAAACTATCAGCTCGATCACTAAAGTGTGTCTTTCTTGGCTATCATCGATCCCAAAAGGATTATCATTGCTACTCACATACTCTACAACAATACCTCGTATCGGCCAATGTTACCTTCTTCGAGTCTGTTCCATATTTTGAGTCCAGCCGAGTAACTACGGGACCTCTACAGGAAAGTATTCCCACACCTCATCCGAAAGTCCCCTTTGTCATTATCCCCCATCATTCTAGGGAACCTGACCCATTAGATACCCCTACGGTTGACCCCCCCCCCCCCCCCCACTCCTCGCCCACTTCAAACATATCAGTGTCGTCACCCAACGCTGTCGTACCTGTCCCTAAAGTCGTATTTGTCCCTGAAGTCGTACATGTCCTTGAGGTCACTACGGACTCTCCTCCGACGCTCTCGCCATCACCGGGTCTGATCCTGCATCCTGAGTCTGATCTTCTGATTGCCCTTCAAAAAGGTATACGTCAAACACGAAATCTTTCTCCACATTATATTGATTTATGTTATCATCGCCTTTCCCCTTTGCAGTATATTTGTTTGTCTTCTTTGTCTTCTGTTTCTATTCCTAAAACTCCAAGTGAAGCATTATCTCACCCTGAGTAGAGGCAAGCAATGATTAATGAAATGTGTGTTCTTCAAAGCAGTGGTACCTGGGAACTGGTTCCTCTACCCCATGGAAAATCTTTAGTAGGCTGTCGTTGGCTTTATACAGTGAAGGTTGGTCTAGATGGTAAGATTGATCGATTTAAAGCTCGTTTGGTAGCCAAAGGATACACTCAGATTTTTGGGTTGGATTATAGTGATACCTTTTCGCCTGTAGCTAGGATGGCATCTATTAGACTTCTTCTAGCCATTGCAGCCATTCGACATTGGTCTCTTCATCAACTTGACATCAAAAATGCATTCTTACATGGTGATCTTGAAGAAGGAGTATATATGGAGCAACCACCTGGGTTTGTTGCTCAGGGGGAGTCATCGAATATGGTTTGTAGGCTACACAGGTCTCTTTATGGTCTTAAGCAATCTCTGAGAGCTTGGTTTGGCAGATTCAGCACTGTAGTACAACAATTTGGTATGATCCGTAGTGAAGCTGAGCATTCTGTAGATGACATTGTCATAACTAGTAGTGATCAGCAGGGATTACTCCAGTTGAAACAACATCTCTCGAAACAATTTCAGACAAAAGATCTCGGTAAACTCTGTTATTTCTTGGGTATTGAAGTAGCTCAATCTAAAGATGGTTTGGTGATTTCTCAGCAGAAATATGTTATGGATATTTTGGAAGAAACAGGTTTGTTAAATGCTAAACCAGCCGATACTCCTATGGATCCAAGTGTTAAACTACTACCCAATCAGGGAGAGCCTCTATCTGACTCAGTCAGGTATAAGAGATTGGTTGGAAAGTTGAATTATCTCATAGTCACTCGTCCGGACATTTCTTTTGCAGTCAGTGTGGTAAGCCAATTCTTAAATTCCCCTTGTCAGGAACACATGGATGCTGTTATCCGGATTCTGAGATACATCAAATGTGCTCCAGGAAAAGGTCTTGTGTATGAGGATAAAAGACATAATCAGATAATTGGATACTCCGATGCTGATTGGGCAGGGTCACCCATTGATAGACGCTCCACCTCTGGGTATTGTGTACTTGTTGGAAGACACCTTATATCCTGGAAAAGTAAGAAACAAAATGTAGTTGCAAGATCAAGCGTCGAGGCAAAGTATAGGGCCATGGCAATGGCATTATGTGTACTTATTTGGTTAAAACAGTTGCTCAAGGAACTTCAAATTGAAGAAGCAAGACCAATGGCACTTATTTGTGATAATCAAGCTGCATTGCACATTGTTTCAAATCCAATCTTCCATGAGAGGACCAAACATATTAAGATAGACTGTCACTTTGTCAGAGAGAAGATCGAGTCAGGCGACATCGTCACAAGCTTTGTCAACTCTAATGATCAATTGGCAGATGTGTTTACAAAATCCCTACGAAGCCCCAGAACTAATTATATATGTAACAAGCTTGCTGCATTTGACTTATATGCTCAAACTTGAGGGAGAGTGTTCATATTTGTAAATATATATAGTGTTAAGAATATTTGTATATATAATAGTCTCACATCGACTATATCATGTAATTAGTTGTAATCTGTCTATATATAATAATGTCTCCGTAGTGTTTTGCAAAACACACGGTTTATTCAAATGTCTCTTAGTCTCTTGTATTTTAACAACATTTATTTATGATAATCAAGTTGCATTGCACATTGCTTCAAATCCGGTCTTCCATGAGAGGACCAAACATATTGAGATAGACTGTTGATATTTGTAAATATATAGTGTTAAGAATATTTGTATCAAGAAATGTGGTTAGGCCTAACTCAACCCTACAAAACCAATTTTGTAGGAATGAGTTAAGTCAAACTCTAATTCTATTATGATATCACGAGCATATCGATTTGGGTCACTCACCATTTATATATGCGCACCAAACCCAAAAAAATGATGGGCGCAAGGGGCTGTATTTGAAAAACCAAGTCTCATATATCGATAATTCGGGTCACCCACTGTTTATATCCACGCACCAAGCCCAATAGTGTTGGGCGTGATGGGGTGTATTGGAAAAAACTCAAGTCCCACATTAGTTAAAGAAACAATCTACAAAGGGTTTACATAGAGTGGCACCCTTCACCTTACCAACCGATTTTGTAAGGTTGAGTTAGGCCAAGCTCTAATTCTATCACTATCTATAAATAATAATGTCTCCGTAGTGCTTTTCAAAACACACGGTTTAATCTAAATGTCTCTTAGTCTCGTTTATTTCAACACTCTCCTTACAAGTTTACTGACTATCAAACTAACTGACCGACTCTTGGATCCTTTTTATTTACATCTCATCAATTCCTTCTCGATCATTGGGTTTGGATGCCTATCAAAACACTTGGTATATGTAGATGACACACCAAAAGTTCATAAAAAAAGCCAGCATCTACTAGTAGAAATGCTTTACTTTTAGAACCCAAAAAAACTTTTATGTTTGCAAGTTGAAAAAAACATACCTCGAGATGGTCAAATTCATGTTGGAATATTCGTGCTGGAAGGCCAGACATATTGATTGAAAACCGTACACCATTGACATCACGTGCATCAATCTTCACGGATTCTGGTCGCTGCACAGCAATAATGTGATTTGTTTGAGTAAGGATGAGATAAACAAATTCAAAGATCACCCCATCATAGTCATGTAATTTAAGGCACACAATGTTTCATTAATTGGGTACAGTTTGAAATATCAACAAAATAAAAAATATTTAACGGTATACAGAGCAATAACTTTGGTATGGATAGCAAACTAAACAAAATGAAACAAAAAACAAATTTGAACAGACATGAGGGCTATCTACAAAATAAATCTAGAAGATATAAAACAAACATATCGCCCTTGAAGCTAGTCATTGTAAGCACTAAACTATAACCAATGGAACGATTCATTTAGAAAGGAACTCCAATAAAAAATTGCAAAATTACAGGAAGTATTTAATGAACTTAAAAGGATGGTTGTGCTAAATAGCTGGTTCTTGTTGAATGCTAAGTTCCACATTTCTAGTTTCATTCTTGGTAGTTTGTAATTGCTAGTAAGGAGAAAAGTGCGCACTCACCAAAAGCCAAATGGTAGGAAGAAACCCAATGAATATTGATAGATTCAACAGAAAGTATTAACTAAAAAACAACTGATTTGTATTGAAGATGAACTCACGTGATTAATCCTCTATAGAAGATGAATTAGAACAGTAAATAAATGACAATGGATGCAGATGATTTGGCAGAGTGAAGAAAAGTAAATGATATTCCTTCAATGAAAGTTATGTTCAAAGTAGTCCATTAAAAGAAAAAGGTTTCATTTTCATACCTTTACATCAGCATTAATGCCGGGGAAAGATAGACAACCCTCATTAAATAGTGTCCGGTTCATTGAGTATTTTCTAACTTTTGGATTTATAAGAACTATTTCTTCTCCTTCACCGCGTTCACCTACCGGGTTGAAAACCATAAGTTGAACATTAACCCCTACTTGGGGTGCTGAGAGGCCAATACCATCAGTCCTGTAAAGAAAAAATGTCGGCCAATAATATAGCATACAGTAAATTGGAAGGACTTGTTAAAAAGTACCCAATATAGATATTATTTTCAATTTCATTCTAAATGTTCTAAAACAATGCAGGTATCAAATTCTCTAAAATATTCCTCAATGTTAGTTGAATTACGCTATTGATAATTTTGATATATTTGAAGTATTGTTCTAAATCAACTCTTTTTCTGTTATATTATTATAATAGATGTACTGTTTTTGCAAGGCCACAAGGTGAAGCAACGCACTTTGGGCATGGGACTATTCTGCAATTGAGTGAGTGTGGGTTTTACAAGGTAGCCATTGCCTAATACCCATGAACGAAAACAAGAACCAACGCAATGTGTTATCCTTTTCAGTGCATTTTCCTTAAAATTTCTTATGATGCAGTTCATTATTGATTTTCAATTAATATACATTCTACTCTATCGAACAAATAGAGACAGACCAAGGGCTTGTTTAGATTAATTTATTTGAACTTATCAACCGGAAAAAGTACTTGAACTATTTGAACGACCTTGACATGTCTATATGCTCTTTTAAGCTTATTTCCACAAGATTTTACAAAAGCTACTTTAGCCTATGAGCGACCATTTTCATTCTATTCCATCTTAGTTAGAAACGGCCTATAAATAAGCAATTAATTGATAAAAAGTTAAGTAAAAAAAAAAAACAGTTGAAAATGGAAAAGCCTTACTTGTACATTACGTCGAACATTTCATGGACAAGTTTCTTTGTACTATCATCAAAGGTTGCAATGCGTTTATTCTTTTTCCTTAGTTTTGGGTCGGGATATTTCAATACTTTAAGAGGGGCCTCAAATTCAAAATCAGCAGCTTCAAAGTAAAACAATCTCAAATTCAAAATCAAGAGGTGTAAAACAAAGCAATAGAAAAATATGACAAGAGGAGAACTCACGAGAAGCTAATTCATGTTGTGAGGATGAAAAGCCTGCCTTTGTCCTGTGGATGGAGGAGAGAGCCGGGTTGAAGGAGGATGGTTGACGGAAGCGGCCGCTTGGAACGGCAGCAAGTGCAGAACCGCTAGGATGATGAAGTAGAGGAGGGTGAGTTGGGAGGAGGGAAGCCATGGCCACGAATTGAGAACGGGTAACGTTTTAGCAAATAGAAATGAAATCGGATATATCGGGCGACCAAAGCTTAAGCTTAGCTAATTCAAAAAAGAAAAGCTAAAACTCAGTTGAGAGTTTGTTTCTTCCTATATGTCTCGACAAAAATTCTATTTTCACTGGATTTGAGTTTTGATTTAAATTTTTCTATTTTGTTAATCGTTTACTTTGTAACTAGTAAAATATTTATGTTTACACACGGGTACTATATGGTTTGCGCATTTGTTTACGAAATATATTGTTTAACTAAAATAATTTTCTATTTTTAAAAGAGATAATAGATTGATGTCTATAATTTTTTCATATTTAAAAAATTTGAATAATAATATTTTTTTCGTATATAAATATTATTTTTATTTTGATAATATACACAAAAATATTTGAATCATTGATAAACTTGTTCTCGTTATTATTAAATATTTTAATCAATAATTTTATTTTTTCCGTTTCATATAAAAATGAAATGATAAAAAGAAAAAAAATGTAACTAAAAGATTTAATTAGTTTTAAAAGGGACGATTAGTCGATGCCTTTAATTTTTTTCGGTAGATAAAATAATTTGAATAAACAATATAATTTATTTTTGCATTATTTACAAAAAATCGAGGTCATTAATTTTTTCTGTATATACAAATATTATTAGCTTTAATAGAAATAATAAATCGAGGCCAATGATTTTTTTTTATATATATAAATATTTGAATCAATAATTTTGTTTCTTATATAAATATTATTTTGTTTTGCTATTATCAACAAAAATAATTGAATCAATGTTAAACATGTTCTCGTTATTTATATTGAATTATTTATACGAAAAATATGAATAAAATAATTGTTTTAATTTGGTATTTGAAAAAAAAAAAAAGATAAGTTATGATTTTGTAAAAAAAATTTAATAGTTAATCAACATCATGAAAAATATTAATAACTCTAAAAATTTAAAATTGACAAATAAAAATTATATATTAAATAATTAAAATATTTGAATTAATGGTATTTTTTTGTTTTTAATATTTTAATTAATAGTTTCATTTTTTTCATTTTATATATTTTTCAAAAAAATTTAAGAAAAAACAAAATTTATTAATATTTTATTGTATCTAATTCACTATAAAAATCAAATTTTATTATAATTTTCATAAGTAATAATAAAATTTTACTTTAACAGAATTTTACAATTATTAAATGCTATATTTAATTTAATAATCAAAATCTCTATCGCAGTATTTTCATGATGAACAAAAACAGAGTAAATAAATAGATATAATTACACGCCTTTTTTTAATATACCAAACAGTGTGAACACCATTTTGGATTTAGAAAATATAAGATTTATAGGTTAATTATTTTTTAATAGTATGTATACATGTAATATCTCGTATTCCCTTAAATGCTATTGAGTTCATATGTACTTTTTAGAATAATTAGAACTCTTAAGTGGTCTAAATATTATTAGTTGGAACCAATAGAGTAACTAGTGAATTCTGAAAAAATATTAATTATTAATAAAAGAGACAGACCAATATTAATAAGTATGTGAGAAGACATTTGGTAACATTAATAATTGGTGAATTAGTAATAGATGACATAATATCAAACTGAGATATTTTGTATCATTACATAATATTATTATATATTATATGGTTATGAGTGGATGAGAAAGAAATTATAAGAAAGTTGGTAAGAAAAGAAAAAAGACAGAAAAAAGAGAAAGAAAGAAAGATAGAAAGAGGAAAAGAGAAAGAGAAAAGAAAAGGGGAAGAAGAGTTCATGGAAGAAGAAGAGGAAATTCATCATCATCATTAACTCCATCTCATTTTCTTCATCTTCAAGGTGAGTTTCATAGATATTGTAGCTTGGGAGAAAAAGTATAAAAAGGGTTTGAGAATTAGGTTTTGCATAATAACATTATGAATTGATGAAATGTATGTCAATTGTGTTATAACATGTTAATTTGGAGTTGTTGAATGTGTAACACCCCCTTCTACACCCCCAAATAAACAAATAAATCATTTAAGCACATATTAAAATTTCATCAGAGTAAAATTAAAACATGGTATAAAAGAGGTATGCCGCATCGTACACAAAATTGGAACACACATCACCTGCTCTATAAAAGACATGCAACAGTGGGGTAGCTTTTAACAGGGGAACTTAGTCCTTACACCCACATCTCAATATCTAGAATTAAAAGCGGAAAATCTAAACATTGAATCACTTAAAACATGTAGTCATATAAATACATATCATCCAGTTTGACTCACCATCTCATTCATGTTTACATAAACATTTGCCAGCAGATACATATACAAAATGTATCCCAAAAGAATATTATACAATCCTAACTACCCGGTGCTACATATCAGAGCTAACCGACCAAAAGAATGAAGCTATACTTCACAAAAGACCTCCAGCAAAGCTAATCTGCAATGTCTCGTAGAACATTATAAAACAGCAGAAGGGTGAGAAATATTATCATAATAATCAATGCATAAATATATATATATATATATATATATATATATATATATATATATATATATATATATATATATATATATATATATATATATATATATATATATACACACACGCACACACAAGCATAAAATACACATATTCCGCATTTCTCCCCGCGATTCATTATCGTCATCATATACATCACAATATATGTATAAACAGTTATGGATAATCACCAAACATGTTTCATCATGCACACATCCATAATCCTCAATTCACAATTCATACAGAAGCATATTTTCATATAACAGTGATATCTATGCCATGTGACTCGATGCAACTCAATGCAACTCATGCCATGTGGTACCAACACTTGTTATCATTTTTCGGTTTTTACACTTAAACCGGGTCCATTCCCTAGACCGATAACAACAAAAGTGTAACACCCCCTTCTATACCCCAAGATAAATGCATAAAAAAAAACAATTAAGCACATACAAATTATCAGAGTAAAAAGGTTTTATAATAAGGTATAAAAGAAGAATGCCACAATTTCACCAACGAAACTCTTTAACATTTTGCTCCATAAAATATGTAACATTTTCAAAAGTAAGCGGAAGATCAAATCATTTAAGCAGTTCCAAAATATTAATTCAAATGCACATAAGTCATCCAGATTAATACATCATATCAGTTAGATTACAAAACCACATCAGCTGATACATCGCAATGTATCACAAAAGAATGACTATACTAGTCTAACTACCCGGTGTTACATATCAGAGCAGCAGACTCAAAAGAATGAAGACTAATCTTCACAAAAGGACTCCAGCATCCTAATCTGCAATGCCTCATAGAGCATTATAAAACAGCAGAAGGGTGAGAAATATAACCATAATAATCAAAGCATAAGATTATATATATAGGTAGTCATCTAACACATATTCACATTTCTCACCACACTTCATTCTCTTAGTCATATATATTTACCACACATATATAGACAAACCTGGATATTCACAAAGCATTTCCACATTATGCATACACTTACAATTTCCACAATCTCATCATTCACACATAAGCATCTCTTCATGCATATGTCATATATCAATGTGACTCAATAACTCAATGCAACTCATGCAATGCGGTACCGACTCTCGTTATCTTTTTTCGGTTTTTACATTAAACCGGGTCCATTCTTCTAGACCGATAACCCGTTATCTTTTTTTCGGTTTTTACACTAAACCGGGTCCACTCTTCTAGACCGATAACCACAAAGGCCCGTCCTCTAAGCCTTCAAACCCACTCTTCTAGGTTTGGGACAAGCCACTAGTTTCCACGAAACTAACAGACATTGCCTCTTGACTAAATGATGCATGTACAATCAGCCACAACAAATGCACTTAAGACCGACATCTTAATCTCATGCATTTACATAATTCATCTCTTCAAGAATTACACAATGATTGCACATACAGCATATATCACAACAATCAAGGTATTCACATCACAATACCAATCATACAATTACAAGTGATGCACACATATTCACAATGTTCTCATGCATACTCATCACATAATTGTATACACATCAAGCATTCACAAGTTCATTAAATAATACACACATAATCACCTATTATGTTCACATGTATTTATACTTGATGCAATTAACATTCAAATCACAATTCTAGGATTCACGCCCGTAGGCTACCCACAACACACATCATCACAATAGATCATATCTATATCATATCATAGAGGTATTGACCTCTGAGAGGCAACCAAACCATCTCCACATGAACAACACAGCAAAGGAAAAATGCTGTCAAATTCGCCTTCATTCGCCTGGCGAACCCTCGCAGCGAACCTTCGCCTGGCCTTCGCCTGGAGAACTCTCTCAGCGAACACTCGCTAGGCTTCGCCTGGCGAGACTTCCCAGCGAGCCCAAGTCAGTAGCTACTGACTTCATTCGCCAGCACCTTCGCTGGGCGAACCCTCGCTACTCAACTTCGCCTGGCGAACCCACCAGCGAAGTCCACTGGGACTTAAATATAATTGTTCGCCAACATTCGCTAGGCTTCGCCTGGCGAAGCTTCGCCTTCGCTCGCCTGGCGAGAGCCAGCGAACCTGCGCAGAACAGAACCCCATTCTGTTCCACCTCCACCATCCACCATCATCCAACTTCTCACACAACAAAACCAGTACAAGCAGCATCAACACATGTTACCCAACTATTCTACGGCATTATTGCTCAGTTTCAACCGATTAAATCATCAATCTACCGATTATTCCAACTTTTGCCCTAATTGGAAGGTGATGAAAACTCTACCAAAAACCCCAACCCAACATACATAACATCATACAATGATCAAATAGAAACATTTCTCACCCTTACCTCGATTAATCGGAGCTTTGATGTTGGTTCTTGATGATTTCCACTCTTCCTCTTCTTCTCTTCTCTTTCTCTCCTTTCTTCTTCTTTTTCTTTCCAAATGTTTTCT